GAGATACACCAGTAGAAAATACATTGGTGTTCTAGGGATATATTTTTGGCTTCTCTTTGTCTCTTCTCATTGTTCTAAATCTGCTCAAAGCAGGAGCTCTGCTATGACTGTTAGTGGAATGACAAGTTAGGGTCAATCTGGATAGGATTTCCTTTCTTTTCCTGTCCTTTAAATAAAATAATAATAATAAAAGACCAGTACCAACCTATTCTGTGGGCAGAGTACAGACATTTATTTTTGGCAGCAATACTGAAGGTAAAGTTCAAAATCTAGTCCTTTGTTAACTGAAAGGGTATCCATTTCTTAAATTAAATTGATCTTGTGTCCTAGCTTTTATTCTACCAGAGAAAAAGCATCTAAATATCAAGGCAATGCTCTCTGCGATCTTTTCTTCATTTTGAAATATTTTAGCTGTTTTAACTCTTTGCTCTATTAAATCAATCTTCTTGTTTAGCTCTTGCAAACCTACACTGAAAGATTTATCCTGATGAAAACAATAGGAGTTTCTCTGCTGTCATTGGAGGAGTCTGGATTTGCTTCCGTCTCTGACTGCCACCATCTCATGTACACTGATTGTTTTCAGATTGCTTCAGATCTTAGTATTTACCCAGCCTTATTTTTTTTAACTCTTCATTGCGATGTCTTCCGACACCTTGATCCCAGTTCTTGTGATGGCCTCTTGGTCTCCCAGACTGCTACAGCTTTTTCTCCAGTTGTATTCTTGGTTAACGCTGGACACAAATACAGTCACCTGCGATGTGGGAGCATATTTAGACTCCGGTCGAACTGTTCCAACAAGCACCATTGAGGGTAGCCTGAGCTCACCCATAAATACATGGTTTGGGTTCCATGTTACTTAACAACTGGCAGATGTCTTCTGCGTACATTTTTGTCTTGCAAGCTTATTGGCCTTCCTTTAGGCACTCCATGCCACTTTTGCACATAACCTGGCTTGTTTTCCCTTCTGAGTCATTTGGTGAAAAATTAAGTAGACCACAGCTCTTCACTTCTGTGTTTGATCCCGTGAAATTAATGGACCGAAGTAACAGAGCTCCGTCACAAATCCTTCCGCATCATGAGGTGTGACTTAGCATATGAGGAGGATTTTGTCATTCTTGTCCCTTTTAGGGTCAATCCGTCTATGATATTAAGTGCAAAGTGTGCTTGCCTGCTTTGCATGGCTGTCATCTGCCTTGTTGACGCTAAGGGTTGACGCTTCAGCACAAGGTGTACGAGTTGTACAGCTGGGCCTGACGAACGTAGCGCGGAGCAACTGCTCTTCTGTGGATTTGTCAGAAAGGGGAGGCTTTTCCATGCGCCCCGCGAGCTGCCCAGAGCCACACCTGCTGTGGCAGGTGTGCTGGCTTGTGTCTTGTTCAGCGTGCCAATTATTTTCATATTCATCCTTGAATAACCTTAAAGATACGGGGCTATTGAACTCTGTAACAAATGCCAGCGTTGATCAGAAATTCCTTCCTTTTCATAGCTGGCACTCTCTGCTTTCAAAAGTACTTGCACATCTGCCCATAGCTTCAGAGGCTCTTTGGTTTTCTCATCCATATCGTTAGAAAGGAGCAACATGGGAACAGAAGACTTCCAGGTCTGTCTGCTGCAGTCTTCCAGAGATCAAACCCTGCTTTTTGGCAGCCACTCCAAAATACTGCCACTGCTTATTATTTTTTTTATTTCCGTGGTCATTTCCTTGCATTGTGTTAGATGCTATTTCTTGCCTTATGCTTTTCTGCATAGTTTAGGAATTTTTGTTTTCATCTGCTTTTATCTATACGTATGCCACAGCATTGATGTCAGTGCAGCTTTGTCTGTATCAACCTTAAACAGCTTACTCTGTATGCTGGTATATCCCAAAAGCACCCTTGGGATGTTTCCTGTCATATAAAGCCGTATGGTGATTTGTTGCCCCCTTTTTTTTTTTTTGAATTGGACGCATGGGCTGGTTCATGACATGTTGGTCCCAGATGGCAAAAATCAAGAGGGGGGGAAAAAAAAAAAACAGTAAAGTTTCCCTAGATGTTACAGGGTAGCTGTATTAATCTTGAGCCAGGCACAGGTTGGATCACTGTCTTCTCTCAAAATCAAAAGCAAGCTACAAAAACTGAGATGATGCTGAGGGAGAAATTCCCTCCCCCCACAGCCAAAAAAAAGGAAAAACATAAGAAAGGTGATTCTAAAGCTGCAAGCTTCGCTCAAGAGAAGAGACAAACAGCCCTGTGTCAAAAGTCCAAGGTATGAAAGTCTAATGTGCTGCCTGCCAGATAACTGTGCCTTCCCAGCAGGACACTCATATAAATGCGGAAGATAACCTCCACATCTGACTCGTCTTGAAACCTTCTCCCTGCCCTCAGCCACTTGTAATTGCAGTTGTCTCTGCGGCGATAACAGCATCTCCCGTGCTGGTGGTTTTGTTCAAAGTTCAGGGGAAGCTCTTCATCGCAGTCCACGGGTTTTCACCTGTAGGATCCTAGGGTCGGGCTGACTGATGCTCCAGGCGCTCTGCTGTTCAGAGCACTGGTCAGTGAACGTGGGTTAAGCCAGATCTACAGTCACTTTACAAAGATGTAGTGATCAAGTGACCAGGGTGTGCTGGGGAGATGTTCAAGAGTAGAGCTTCTCCAACTCCCTCTGAGCTCATGGCTTTCTTTTCCCTGAAGCTGATGACACTGATGACTTTCTTGGATATCCCTGTTGTCTTCTTGCCGGGGTTCGCTGCCAAGCAGGAAAGTAACTTTACTAATGTCAAATGCTTCGTGTCCTCTTCCACTAGCAAAGCTGTGGCCTTAAGCAAGATGCACCATCACCCGTGAAAAGTAGCTGAGGCTGCGTAGCACAGCTCTTTGCAAACTGCACACTGACTGTACTACCTTTACTCTCAGACCAAAGCCCGATGGCATGAACTGACCTCAAATCCTGCAATTTGATTATTTCTAAATTACACTGCAGAAAGGAGCTCACTCTTTTAAGCCAAAAAAAAAAAAAAAGGCTAATGTGCCCTCTGGATATTTGTACATTGGTTGTGATAAAGCAAATCAGTAAGTCAGTTTTCTGGGATATCTGGAACCTTGCTTTTTTTCTGTTTGCTTGCCCCAGAGAATGAACTGGGTTTTTCCCCTTTTTCCTCTGGGAAACAGTGTAATAAGAGAGCTAAAGTGTTTCATCTATTTCACAATTCCCAGTGGAAGTAGAGCCTTTTGTAAAATAGATAAATGCACTTCATTTTGGATATTACGCTTGATATTTAAGCAGCTTGCTTGGCTGAGGTGAATGCCTCCTGCATGTGCCGTTCTTGGGGCCAGTTCAGCAATGGTGTGGGCAAACCTAGCTTACTTTGTTGCAATGGAGCTGCACTTGTTTTCACTAATGATCCTTCTGAGGGTACCAGAAGTCATGAGAACCAGTTCTTGTGGTTGTTCTGGTAAGCAGACATTTCTCCCATGTGAGCTGGGGCAGGTTTTCAAACAGCTTGTCATGCTGTGTCACAAGGCAAGCTGTTGAACACCAACAACCCCTGAAAACGTGGCTTTGTGTTAATCCCTGAGTCGGCACTGAGCATGCTGGAAATCAGAGTGCCATTTAAATTATGGAGTACTCCCTAGGTCAGTGCTGAGGTCTTTGGGAAGCTATCCCTTATGGTTTATTCCTGACTGGTAAATACAGGCCTACTGCTAATGATGGGAGAGGCAAGCCAGAGTGTTTGTTGAAGGGCTTAGGGCAGGGATTCAAGCTCACAGTGCTAATCCTGCACCAGATCTTTCAGAACCATCACCCCCCTGCTCTGCACTTTCTGGATGGACTTTCAGAAACACTCAATGCATTGTTTACTGTTTTTTAAAAAAATCCACCTGCTTTTTTAAATTCCCAGGTTAGACATCTTTAGAAACCTCTTACAATTTGGACCCAATAAACTGGGATGCTGGATTTCTGCCCCAACGTGACACTGGAGGAGCTCCAACCCTCAGGAGCCCGAACCTTGCTTGGGATTTACGTAGTACATAGTGTGGCAGGCAGAGCCTGATATTGGTTTCTGTTGAAAGACTGGCAATTTTATTAGCAGCCGTTAAAATAGGTGTTTTCCCTTGGCTGAAAGGCCCCTTTCCGCCAATTGTCTCTGCTCTTCAGCGAAGTGGTGCTGCCTCGGAGAACAAAGAAGTCACTGGCACAACGTGCTGTATGTGCCTGCATCCCGAAGGACCCTGTGGGTGAGCGATATGCCATGTGTCTTAGTCCTGTTCAGCTCGGAGGCTGCAGATCACTTCGTGGAATTGTAATCAATTTCCTGATATTTGCCACAACACGCTGAGAACTCTTAGAAAACTTGACGCCCTCCTCAAGGAGGGAAACTGTGAGTCAAAGCAGTTCTGTGTTAGCGTGGAGCTACGTCTTTCGTCTAGGATGTTCTGTAGACACTTAACAAGTGCTTCTGTCCTATGTTATTTAGTAGAGCGACACATGACCGTGTTGCTGTTTTATTAGTGAGCACTGGAAAGCGAGGCCAGTGCTTGCTTATTACCAAACCTAGGGCCAGGTAGTCAGTGTGTGTGTGTGTGTGTGTGTGTTGATGTGAACTAATAGAGGATATTGCCAAATATTATCACCCAAGCACTAGTTGTCCTAATTAAATTCTTGCCTGCTAACCCAGCAGCTCTCCGTGAACAGTAAGGAGTCAGCGTAAACCATGTGACTCGATCGGGGTGAATTTTGAAGGGAGAAGCACTTCTTGCTGACTGCATTTTTAAACGTAATAGGAAACTTGGTGTCTGGTACATTTATGTGGCAAATCTGAGAAATGGAAGCCATGGCAGGGATTACAAAAGACTTCATTTTAGTGTCTGTGTCGCTCAGCTGATAATGACTGTGTCCCAGGTGTCCGGCTGTGGGTTCAAAGCTCATCTTTCCACTGCTGATCCTGCGTTGCTCTACCTGTGATTGCTACAGAGTCTAGCAGTGTCTAAACCAGGAGACAGACACATTTGGGATCTGTTGGTTATATTCCCATCTCCCCTTTTGCTTTGCTTGTGGCGTCAGGTGAGTTGCTTCAACTTTGTATTCTTCTAATGCTTTTACATAGCATCTTTTTGTAACTTGCTGCAGGCTCCTCAGGTTAAAAAGGTGATTTTTAAAGAAAAAAGTTAATTTTATTCCTGAAGTATCATATTTGAGTGGTGTTTTTCCCTCTTTTGTAGAGCTCAAGCAGATATGATGAGTTCTTTGACGTCCTGAAAGCTTGTTAGAGGTGTGAGTGTTCAAAGTTTGTTCCTGTTTGGCAGGCTTTGCATAAGTTGTTTTGACCACGGAATAGCCATATACTCTTGTTTCTTTATGCATTGGCTTTTCTGCTCTAGTTAGATCTCTTGCAAGCAGGATAAATAATGGTTTGTTTGTTCTCAGCTGCTCATTATCTAGCCTAATCTCAACAGAATGGGGTTTAAAGCTGTTTTTTCCACTTCTTTTAGTCTCACTGAATTTGTATAGATACACAGGACTTCTCCCTTTCAGGGGATAATGCTGGAGGAAGCCAGGAGGTAAGATTTGGGTGTCCTGCAGGGAAATGGCCAAGGCATCAGACCCTGATTTGGGGCGTCTGCAACTCTTGACTTAGTTGTCTGCACCGCTATTGCCCAAATGCCCATCCAAGCTAATGATTTTCTGATGGCTTGTTTTGTGCGAGTCAAATTGTCAATTTTTGGGGCAGGGGCCCCTTCCCCCACGGTTCACAGCTCTGAAGGGGGCTGGCTCTCAACTGATAGCATGCAGAGCGTGTGGGGCTTCGTCCTTGGACCTGGGCTTTGCAGAGTTGACACGGCTGATGATACTCTTTGCTCCGTAAACTGCAGCCTGATCCTGTCCGAAGGAAATGAAATGATAAGATATTCCTCAGCGTTTCCGAAGAGGACTCTGTTTCCGCTCAAACCCAGTGTTCTTGCCTCAGTTGTTCCTTTTCTTTCAGGGAGAGGCTCTGGTTTGATTTGATATACGCTTATCCAGGGGCTATTGGAGACAGGCAGATGTACAGCTTTTCATCTGAGCCTGAATATTTACTGCTGTAGTCTGTGTCCACTCTGAGGACAGGGACAGCTCGGGCTCTAGGATTGCAGACCTGTGCCGTGCCCTGAAAATAGCATTTCTATCCTCATAAGGACACCGTCTCTAGACTCATGCTCTCTGTGGCTGCTTGGGATGTGGATAGCTGCCAGAAATGGATGTGGAAATTTATCCAAGAGAACTGGACAGAGGCCACTACACAAACTTCATGGAGTCCACTGAAGCTCCACCAGCTACTAGCAGCTTTTAGCTCTGCTAACCAGGGCTGGATGAAGTTGGTGCTAGAGATGAAAGCTCTGCAACCTATTACTGGATACTGAGAGGTTCCAGTTTCATAGGTTTGATAAATTTACTTTGTTCTCTGTCCAAATAGTGATTTCTTCTCTAGGGGAAAGGTTTTTTTGCCCCCAAAAGAAAGCAAACAGCTGCATTGTTTGCAGAAAGCTGCTTTTGAAGGCTGTTATGTGTTTGCTTAGTACAGACACCAGAAATGGGGGTGGGGAATTGATCCTGTGCCACTCCAGCATTTTTCTCTTAAATGTCACAGCTGTAAAAATACGTACTTTTGTGTTTAAGATGGGTTGGGTCCGAACACTCCTGGCCTATTGGCTAGGGGACTTTCAGCAACCATTTTACTTGCATGTAGTGGTGAAGCACTGATCTATTAAGAAAAGATTTGTCAGAGCGTGCGTTCCACTGTCAGCACTCGCGGGGCTTGTCCGTCTCTCTTAAGAACGACTTTCTGAATTGCTTTCAGATGGAACTGCAGCTGTGTAACTCTAGATGCCACGTGGGATTTTTGCAACAGGGAGAAATGTTAAATGCAGGGAAGCTACTGCAAAGACAGTCTGTGTGACTCTCTTCCATGTGCACTCTCTTCCATGTGGACCCAGTGCTTTGATTGTGCCGAAGAACACTGTGGCTCCTGGTTTTATGCAGTGAGGAAGGTCTTGACCTGCTATTAAAAAACTCCTTTCAAAGGGGAGCAGGTGCCCTTGAGCCAGATCAGAAATCATGTAACTTGCTATGTTCCTTCTGTGTATCCTCTGATGTGCACTGATTCTTCAGGCTGCATCCTCCGTAATTGTAAGAGCAAGGGCCAGCCTGATCCCAGTAAGAGATGGAAGGAGGCTCTAAGTAAGATCTGAGCATCATCTTCTTCTTCTTCCTTTTTTTTTTCAGTTTTGTGCAGGGATTCAGAAAAATTGAAATAGTCTTAGGAATCAGCATGGTAAGGGTACACAAGTTTTAAGTGACATGTTGGGTAGAGCGTGGAGGGACCTTGGTGTACTGGATCTCCACCGTGTAATAGACTGCTGAATGTGAAATCACCTCTTGATCCTTACTTTACCTGAGCTTTTTGGTCAGCTGAATGCCCATTGCTCTCAAATCCTGTGCAATATCTGCATGTTGCATGAGATGTACCTGGATTCACAACCCAACTCCAGCCACACATTACTTGCTTCAGTTGCCAGTCAACCTTTTCTGATGGCTCCTGTTTATTATCGGTGTTAAGGTGGCAGTTAGAGTTGGTGTGGTAGACTGGTGCCGGGTGTTATTCCTAAGCTATCAGCAATCTAAGTCTCCCCCAAGCATGTTCCTTGTGGTCTAAGTATGCAGCTGTGTTGCACATGTTGATAAAAAGGTGGAGACACGTCGAAGCAGAACTGGGCAGAATTAGATTTGTGGGTCACTAAGAGAAGTAGTTAAGTCTCCAGTTAAGTCTCACTGGAGACTTAAAATTGCTGTGTGTAGACCCGTAAGAAAACTTACAGTGCTCACACAATGAAAAAGATGGTGTATAGCAAAGACCTCCCCGCAACGAGCCTGCCCCATTTCCTACAGCAGAGGGAATTGTTTCTGTGGTTGTGGTTTATAATTCTTGCCTCCTGAGAGCCAAAAGAGCAACTGAAAGGGTGCTAATCCACTTGCACTGAGATTCTGTCATGGAATAAGAGTTCTGTAAAAGCAAGATGACACACTGTAAAAGGTCAGGTCTGGTATAAATCTCCAATTTCTTCTGCAGTATTTTACATAAGAAAAAAATTGTCCTACAGTGGCAAATTCATGCAGCTTATTTCACTCGAGGAATTGGCAGTGGTGCTTCCTTAGATAGTATTGGGTGAGTGTCAGGAGTGATCACTGATACGTACCATTGGCTCACAAAATTTTATTTAGGTGACATGCAGAAAGTTGCATTGGCAACTAGCTGATCTTTGTGCGTTTTGGCCCTGCAGTGCTAAGTGGCAGGTTCGATTTCAAACTGTGTTGAACTTGTTGGTCTGGGCTAAAATGGTAACAGAGGTAGCCTTCAACACCGACCGAGCAAAGAGCACTGGGTCTATCACACCGTTTTCTGTGGTTGTGGTTTGTAATTCTTGCCTCCTGAGAGTCAAAAGAGCAACTGAAAGGGTGCTAATCCACTTGCACTGAGATTCTGCAGAGCCTTAGTAGAGATTCAAGCGAACTTACTAAACTTGTGCACTAACTAGAAAGACAGTGAGGCAGGATGCGACTCTGAACCCAGCATGGTTGTGGAAATTGTGACAGAGGGCACATTTCGATTCAAGTTCGTGCTTCTTTTGCCCTGTCCATACTGCAATAGGTCCTGCTTAATGTAGGGACATATCCAATACTGTCAATTTCTGAACTCTCTGGGCCAAACTTTACAATCTTCAGGCACGCTCCATGCAAATCAGTGCCTTTGCTTGGTTTGGAACTTGCGTCCAGACAAACTGATGCTATCTGAAGGCCAGCACGTTTGCTTTGTTCCTGAAGGTTTAGCTGAACTCCGGGAAGCTGGAATCCAGGCAAATAATCACAACCAAGTCTTCCTGGTTCCACAGGTTTCCACACATCAGCTGAGGTGTGATAAATGATGAGATACGTGGCTTTATCTCACTACAAAGTGCTAGTGCAGTGTGAACCCTACAACCTCTGTAAAACAGTGTGCCTGTATTTTGGATCATGGCGACTGCCTACAACTGTGGGCCCAAAGTCTGGATTTTCACTGAAGTGAATTGAACCAGGGCACAAACATCCTACAGACTTTTCCAAATTTTATACTGCCTTTGCATCGCATGTTAAAGCAGCTGAGTTGGGTGAATTTCCCTTGAGAATACCTAAGGTCTCTTACTCTCCCCAGGATCCAGTCTGCTGTCTTCCCATGTCACTTTAGGTTTGCGGGTTTGGGTCTTTTTTGCTGTAAAGGTTGGAAAGGACTGAGAAGTATCTTGTTGCAGAGTTTTGGGCAGTACTGGTGTGGTGATGGGATGTAGAATGAGTGCTCTGAGCACCCTTCTGAAGTTCATATCCACTCCACAATTGCCTATGCTTGCAAAGGTCCCTTTCACTCCTACGTGCGTAACTTCTCCAGTGGCTGCAGGAGCAGACTCTCATAAGGAAGGCTTATGCTCTTCTTGGGGTGTTCTGGTGAGCAGGGCATAGCAGACAAGCTAATATCCTTGCAGTCAGTACTTGAAATGAGCAATTCACCTAGTGTTTTATGAAGGATTTTTCCATGAAGGTAGTGGTTACAGAGCAATGTCTCCTCAACTAAGGTGCCATGAGTAATGATCGAAGTTCCTTTTTGGGGCTTATAAAGGAGATGTTGTCAGGTGAACCAAACCAGGTATGAGTGGTTGGAGGAGACTGAAGAGAGGGTGGTAACATTCCCTACTTGACTGTAAGTTGATTACAACTTTAAAAATTTAATCCTGATAACCAGAGGAGGCATTGCAATCCCCTGTAACCCATCAGGAGTAAGTGCACGTCAGGTCCGTAAGCACGTGTGCAGAGTCCTCAGAAGCGGAGTTTGTCCCTTGACTTTGCCAAGGAAGGGATGCGGACGTGCCCTGGACGTGGACGTGCTGCTGGTCTGTCAAGTGCCTCGCTTTCAGGATGTCTGGGGATTTGCTCTCTGCCAGATGTGCTCGCAGCTGGAATGTGTTAGGGTGCTCCAGCTTGCGAATTCCCATCAGAGCAGATGTCCACCTCTGAAGAGGAGCGTCTTCGGGCTGAGGTCACTCCACTGAAGTCTCGAAGTGCCTGTCAGGAGTAATGAGCCTGTGTGCTCAGCTGCCTCCGCACAGACGTGAGGCTTGTAGGTTTTCGTAGGCGTCTGCTATTGTCTTTGCTTCTCTGTACTGACATTAAGAAGCTGTTGTCCTGTTGTGATGCTACAGTATAATTATCTGCGGAATTTGGTATAATGGCTTTAATTGTGCTTGTTAGTCACATTAGGGAATTTTTTTTTGTAAATGAGACCTTTATTGTAAGACATGAGTTTTTTTTTAATCTGCAGGCACATTGTAATAATGGAATTTAGTTGTGGAAAAGACTTAGAGTTTGGGCTGTGAATAGTTGTTAACTCAAAGCTAACATCCAGAATTGCCTTCAAAAATCATTTAGTCTTAATGTATTGCAGGTCTAGTCAGAGCATTTCCTGAATAAATCCTACGTACCTTGCTCTTGAATTTTGGAAATGTTTTCAATGCAGTCTTCAATCAGGCATGCAATTCTGAATCTCAGGACTAGGATAGTGGTATGTGGGACACTAGGATCAAAAGCATGTGTGTTCCCAGTTTAACAGACGTTAAAGGGACTTTTCGTTTCTTTGGACCAGCTAGCTGTCCTGTTAACGCTGAGCCTGTCAACAGATGCTATTTGGGAGCATAAATCAGAATTAATTCAGTGTGGATTAGTTAAATTCCTGGGTAGACACTGCTATTCAGAACAAAAATGCTCTTAATCTGAAGTGGCTTAAACTCAAAAGTGAATCAAGCTATACCAGATGTGTACCCAAGCTTATACCAGGGTATTAGTAGCCACCAGGGAGATAAGTATGTTGTTCAACCCCTTGTGCTTTCTCCTGCTCTTACAAGACGGACACCAAATGCAGCCTGGTCACAGCAACTTTGGAGGCCAAGTAGCTCCAAGACCTGACACTAACTCTACAGCAATTTGCTATTCAATTTATCCAAATATGAATGACTACAGGGCAATGCTTAGTCACCTGCCTTCAAGGAGATGTGCATTTCTCCCTCCCTTGTTAAGCGCATCATGTTTTCTCCTGCTGCAGTGGTGCTCACTGGACTTCAGAATTACGTCATTCCTAATTTGGCAGCAGGTTTTTCACTGTAGTAAAAGTAGGTATGGAAAAATACCTTAAAAAAAAGCTTGGGGTGAATCGTGTGATTCAGCCTCACTCAGAGGGCCTCTGTATCAGCTTTCAAAGTCTACGGCATCTTTTTGTTTGTTTGTGTGTTTTCTTCTGGGCTGTTTTTGCTCTTGGATTTTTGGGGTCAGAAAGGTGGGAATTTGTTGTGCTGTGGCTATTTTGTAGCTTTCTCCTCGGAGCTCTGAGGGAAGAGCTGCTGAGTGTGAACCAAGGCTCGCTCGGGCCCCGGGGACCCGGTTAGAGAACACGGTGTAGAGAAGCGGAGCTGGGGAGCACCATGGGAAGCTGCAGGGTTACGCGGGGGCACAGAGGGCAGGCTCTGCCCCTCACCTCTTCTTTGCTTTTTTTTCCAGGCTTAACGCATTTTTTTTCCCCTCCAACTTTTTCCCCCTAGTTAATGCCCAGCCACAGTGTCCTTGCTGTGTGCTGCCACTGCTGCTGCACAGAGGGAGCTGCCCGGATCTGGTGAGGAAAGATGGCTTTCTGGACGCAGCTGGGGCTGCTGCTGTGGAAAAACTTCACCTACAGAAGAAGACAGACTGTAAGTATTGTCCAGTGGCGTTGTTTGTTTGTTTTGTCCAAGCTGTAACTTACTCTTCAAGAAAAACAGGGAAAAGACCCCATATCTTGATGTCTTGCATCCAGCGCGTGACGGCCTGTGCCTTGCGTGAACCCGTCCTGTGACCCGACGTGCTCCTCACGTGGGACATCTCGGGGCTGCAGGGACGTGAGCTTGGGGCCAAAAGACTCCAACTGCTGCATGCTGCATCAGCAGTAATGAAACTTGGCCGTTTCCTAATGGCAGCGGTGTTGGGACATCTGTTGGAGCAAGCATTCTCAGGCTCTTTAATCAGGGAGAGAAACCCAAGCCTGTTGTGTAACTTTACAAGAGGAGGTATAGCTGAAGTGACTGACATGAGACATGTTTTAGCATTAGCAGGGACACAGGTCCACATAACTGATGTTTTTGTACCACAGCATGATTTGATTAGATCCAGCTCTAGCCTCAACATCCATTACCAATGTGGGACATACCCAGCTGGGACGGGCAGTATGCAATGTGAACCTGTGAGCGTGAAGACAACACACTAAAATACTAGGGTTTCATTTCTTTTTGCAGTAAAGACACCTTTCAGAGTACTGTAACTCCAGCAGACAGCTAAAGCCGGGCAGAACGTGCCATTCCCCTCTGGTCTTCGGGGATGTCTGTGGTGGATGAGGGACACGGGCTCGTGCAGAGGAGCTGCCCTGTTAGATCTGACCTTGGGGAGGCACGAGGAGGGAATGCGAAGGCAACATGAGTTACTGAGGTGGTGAGTGGAAAGCCGTCTGTCCGATAAGCTCTCTGAACCCTGCAAATGTCAGGGCTCTTGCCAGCTGGCCGGGCCCGCGCTGCTTTAGACAGTCGGTCACAAGGTGGAGGTGGCTATCATGTTCACGGTGGAGAGGGAAGACGAGGCTCGAAAGTTTTTGCTCAAGTGTCTGGGGCGCGTGGGACTCATGTCCAGTGAATCCAGAGCTGAATTTCACCCAGTGGAGCTGGGCAATAGTCCCAAAACTAGCTATGACTTCTAAGAGCATAGACTCTTCTCAGCGAGGTAGGTTAAGTTCTTAAAGGCAAAGAAAGTCTCTTCTGCCCTAGGTTTTCTCAAGGCAATGCGCGAAGCCTGAAAGCTGGTTGAAGTGGGATGGCTCTAGCATGGTGTGTCTTGTAAAGGTAACTGTAGGCTAGTGGCTGGTAACAGAGGTGCATTCACATCATTTGGCAAAGCCCAAAGAAAAGCAATGGGCAGACTGCATCTGTCAGTGCAAAACACCCTCTGGCTTGTATTTTGTCATGTTCTTGGATCTGTTGATCTATTTCTTGGTTCCTTTTGGCAGCTTCAGTGTAAGTTTCCCATCAAGTACCCCAAAAGGTATGAAAGAAAGTGCTAATAATCCATTCTGTACAAAAACTATCAGCCAGTTCACAATGGAGATCTCAAGACAGCCTCTCTTTGTTTTTATTTGTAGGTTTTATGTCTCCAGGATTTTTCTTACTAGGGGTTCCAATTTGGACTTTGTCTGGAATGTCAGGAAAGGATGGCAATTTAAGAAAAAAAGTCATGGAAACAGTGGAATATCTCTTCTTGCCATGCTGCACAGTCCTTCATTAATTTGCCTTGCTCTTTGGAGACCAGTGTCCCTCAGCTAGGTGCACTGGAGGTGTTTGTCTCCCATTTGTACCTATTAAGTCATTACCCATATTACCCATTATATTTGTACCTGTCTAGTCTAGAAATTGCCTGATCCTTGTTCCTTTTCTCACGAAAACTGTGGGCTTTGCTTCCCACTGAACCCTCTCCTCAGCTGCTGTGAGTTTGAGCCACATTGCGAAAACCGGGTCCAAAGCTCAGCCTGACGTGTGCAATTTGAGCGTAACTTTGTACTGGATAACTTCCAACAGCACAAATGTCACTCTCTGGAGTGGGGGGAAGGAGAGAATGGGGGGAGAGTAGGGAAGGCAAATCATGCTCATGGGTGGGAGTTGTGTAGAAACGCTCTGTTCAGGTTTAGCTCCCCTCATTCGCTGCCTCTCCCTCTATCTCAACGTGGAGGCAAAGATCAGGCAAGGGCTGCTCGTAGCTGCCTGCACGGCACCTGGACAGTAAAGCTGGGGAGGGTGGTTGGCAGCGAGATGGGGGTGGTAGATAGGTTAGTTCTTGCTCAACAGATTTCCTGTTGACACAGCGAGGATCTCAACATCTAATGGTATCCTGCAGTGTCAGCCAGCTGGTATAAGTTGGGCATGCTTCTGGGACTAACCTCAGCAAAATTACGAGCAGTTTATTAGGAGCCAAGTGCCACCATATGCAAATGGCAGGTTCCTGCCTGAATTCCTGGTGGGCACAACAGAGGAGTCCACGTTCCGAAGGTTCGTGTTGCTGCCTACCAGGCTGGCCTGGTATTTGACAGGGTAAAGCAACGGGTGAGGAGATCTGGTCTCTAGTATCTAGTTAATATGAACTAGGGTGATGCACATCTATCTGCTTGTGGTATCTCCATGTCCTCTGCAAAGGCGACAACGGTCCAAAAGCCCTGGTGTAATTGCTGTCAGACGAAGGTCAGGAAACAGTAGGGGAAGGAACTTACTGAACTTTAGGAAAGGAAGAGGATTCATTTCTCGTTGAACAGAACAAGGGGTTGGCTGGGGAGTCCAGGCTCGGAACTGCACTGACGCGCTAGGTTTGACTCTGTGCAGGCCCCTGTTTCAGCAGCAGCCAGGCTGTGTCTCGACGAGTAGTGAATCAGTTGCAGCTGTAACGCACCAGCCGCAGGCTTGCAGCGTGGCCACCCCAAGTCCATGCTCGGCCTGTTGGTCTGGAAAAGACACTCGGTGCTTGTGCGTGGCTGTGCACCCAGCGACAGCACACACACCGCCTGCTCGACGTGCACTTGCTGTAGTTGGGCATGCAGCAGAGGAGCGATGCGTGCAGGTGGCCAGGGTCACCAGCAAGGCTGCTTAGGCATCGCCGTGTACCTGCAGGAGTCCTGGGAAGGGAAGGTGGAGGCAACGTCCCGTGCTCGGGGATTGCTGGCCTTGGGAGCCAGGTCCCTGTTCAACACGGTGTTGAAGGGAGCAGGTCATCCTAGTTAGGGGCCCCACGTGCCGGCTGCTGGGCTGCTTGTTGTGCAAGCAGAGGTCAGGTATAACTGAGGCAACTTTATGGGTTCTTACCCAGTGGATGTTATCAGAAGTGCCTGTGAGACTGATGCTCAGATTCTGCCCCCTTTGGATCCTGTTCTGCTTGGATGTCAGCCTTCAAGGGTATCTAAGGGTGCATCCTAGATGTTTTCCTTTGCTGGATCAAGTGGCATTTGCTTCCATGTGCCATTTTTTACAGTGTGATCTTATGCTGGCTCACCTGAAGTTGCTACTGCAGGTTTGTATGGAGGACCCTATGCCGAATGTCAAGAACCTCATTTTAGCTGATACTAGTTTAGCACATGAATACATATTGGTAGGGGGGATTATGTCCTGCACCCTGCAGTAGGGTGCAGGTCCTATCCCACTGGCTTAGTGGAATGGCATAGGTATTTTACTAGAAAAGACAGGGTTTTGTAGGAAAAAAAAAGAGTTTAAAAAGCTGCGTTAAGAGAAATCTCTTAACCAAGAAAACACTAAGGTTTCATTCCTGTTTTTTTTTTTTTTTTAATCTCATTTTTAGACATTACGTGTGTTTAGGCAACCTTTCTGGAAGGAGAGAGGGGAGGGAATAGCTGGTGAAGCTCAAGGGCTCAGCCTGAGACCCAGGAGCTCAAGGCTGCAACACTGTTCCCACCCTCTTCTGTGGGATTTAGGGCATCTCAGTGAATTCCCCTGTGCTTTAGCTGCCTGTATAAATAACACCCTGTACTTAATAATAGTCCTTTCTTGTATCTTTCTCTAGTCTCTCTAGGTAACAGGATTCTTTATATCATTAGCTGGCACTCACCATACAGTCTCTAAGAATCCAGACTGGTGGATACCAGCCTTTGGGAAAACATATACATTAGTACAAAGCAGTAATTACATTTAAGCTTAACTTCAATATAAGCTCGTCTCATGCCAAGATACTTCTGCTCCAGTGGGGGAAATAAAAATAAAAAAAAGCATAGCTGTGCCCTGGCACAATTTTCATCATCTTTGCTAGTGCAGAATTACAGTGGTTTAACATGAGGATGATGGGGTGCAAATACTTCACATCTATGTCCAAAATGAGGCCAAAAATTCACAAAATTGCTGGGAAGAGATATTAAAAAGGGTTTCCCTGGCATACAACAAGCAGAAGTGAACCTGCAAATAACTCTCCTCAAACACATCCAAAATAGTCCTAAAACTTGCACATATCAAGAAGAAGCACCTTGTAATTCTTAGCAGCATATAAACTTGTCCAGACTTCTTGGTTGTGGTGCGTGGGCAATGGGATGTGGTACAATGCTTGCAAAATCCCTCCTGGCTTAAAAGTGGATTGTACTGGAATCTCGGTTTTGTCCCATGTTTTAGCTATGACATCTTAATACTTTGTCTTTATTGTTTCCAGTTTCAGCTGCTGATTGAAGTCGCTTGGCCTCTTTTTATCTTCTTCATCCTGATCTCTGTAAGACTTTCATATCCGCCCTACGAACAGCATGAATGTAAGTACCCAACACACCAGCTGCACCCTGTATGGTCACTGTGTCATGGGGAAATGGGAATACTGCAACTGCCAGGAAACAAATAGCAGGGCTCAGAGTCCCGTATCTCTGTCAGAGAAATTCAGGGAAATTTTAGTGACTCTTTTCCTTCCATTTTGGAGACTGCAGCTTGTTCAAGTGATATGCCAGCAGTGCACATCACTTTCTGCTGCATTCAGTTTAAACTTCTAAAATACATTTACAGTGTACATCGATAATAATAATGTATAATATAATGCACATAAAATACATTTATAATGTATTAGCCAAGAATTTGCTGTGGAAGTGTGGCAAGGGTACAGAACCCACAACAGAACCAAAGCTTTCTTTCTCGTTCTTGGTCCGCACGTGACTTAGCATAAAGAGAAAGCAGTGTTGAGATCGGAAGGAAGGAATCTCATTTCCAGACAGTCGGGATGTGGGCTAATGTATTGCACGCACTAGAGAATACAAGAGCAATTCAATTCTTTCTGACTGTAGACTGGCTCTTGTGTTCAGTAGATTCAGCAGTCACTGACTTTGCTTTTTACATCATAAATGGACACACTGCTGTTTTTCTCCCAAAGGAAGGTTATTCCTTACGCTGCAAAGGACTATCTTCAGGCCTTTACATTGCTTGCCATTTGCTTAGGACAGCTGGCTTGTTGATTTCCAATATCCGATGTCTTGTGGTGATTGGTGGCAGCCTCACACTGCAATTAGCTGACTCTGGAAGAGCGCTTTGTTTGTCTTTCCTTTACCTGATTATTGCAAGGTAAGGGTGAAGGGTCAGCACAACATGATCCTGGAGGGCACCCTTGAGGTGTTTCACTCTTAAAATGGGTAAAGAATTAGCTCCACAGCACTGATCCTGCAGTTCGTGGTAGTGGCTGAGCCAACTACGTGCTGCTTTCTAGACCTTCAAGCTGACGGGGATCTTTGCAGAGGTGGAGTGTTAATGTTTGCAGTTTCCTGTTAAGCTTTGCTGGTCCCATTTTGTGCTTAGCTTGTTTTCTATAGTGCTTGGCAGGCAATGGAAGCTTCCCCAAGTTAAGCCTGATACTTTGCTGCATGGCATCTGAATTGCCTGTCCTGAGTCGGCCTTACAGCAGTGTTGAGAGGAAGACCTGCAGTATGGACATGACGCTGGAGAGAAGCAAAAGGAGCATTGAGCCACATGCCCAGCTGGCACACGTGTGTGTAGAGCCTCAATGGTAGCTCTCCTGAGTCTTGGGAGTGCTCTTATAATAAACCCAAGTCCAGCAAGAGCTGCCTTGTCTCAGAGATGCTTAGATAAGCCCCGTCCTCCATTAGCTTCCTCATAAATCCTTTGCTCTGGTGTTGGATGTCACAAGCAGGATTTTAATTGAGACTTCCTCCGCCTGCAGTGCTTCGTCCTTCCTATTTACATTCACTGATGTTTTGCCTGTCCTATCCCTATGTCAGCACCAAGAAATATACAGCAGCATCTGCTAACATTCTAACTTTTTTTTTTTTAATGGTCATTTATTTTCAATTTATCTAAACTTCTCAGATTAGGTGACGAATTGGTATATTGAATACTCACTGACTTGATGGCAGATATAGATCAATGACATACATATATTTTAAAGCTGAATTTTGAGTGTGGATGCTGGAAAGGAACCTTGAGTTCATGGTGAACTGTGTGGCAATCTTATGGATGCCCTCAGGAAAATAGGATTGTTATCTCTAGTAGCAGTGCTGATGCTGTTATGAAATGTCTTGCAAGCGCTACCTGATTATAGGAATAACTGAGCAGCATGCAGGTGCTTTATAACCTCAATATTTTATTGGTATGTTTTTGAATTACGCCACTGTTATATCATTATTTCTCAGATAAAACTTCCGAGTTTCAGTTTTCTGGGAATCAGACTTTCTACTCAGGGTTCTCATTTGTAACAGTCTGGCATAATTTCAACCTTTTCCTGAAAACACTGGGGGAAAATAATGCTAACTGCCAGTTACATGGCTTTCGCCAGACCCAGCCAGAGGAGGCATCTTGAAGCTGTTGAGCAAGATTGCTGCCTTGCATATGTAGAGCTTAACTTTTTCTGTTGTGGTGACCTTTAAGATACAAAAAAATGCAGTTTGTTTGGCGACGAGAACAATACAACGTGTTACTTCAAATTATGCTGGAGAGCTAGATGATCACAGCAATGTTGCTGAAAAGGGTGTACAGAATTGCTGTTTTCTGTGTAACTGCTGTCCCAGATGATTCCTGTTTTCCTCTGTGAGAAACTACCACTAAACATTTTACTGTATGTGGAATGTTACCATGAATTTTGTTATGTCCTCTTCTTTTTGATCACATTTAATTGTTGTTTCTTTGCTGATTTCTTAGTTACGTAAAATAAAAGGTATGAAGGAGGAGAGGATGCGTCCTCTGTTTGAGGAATTTTAGGAGAGGAAACTGAATGTTGTGGACTGGATTTACTCTCTTCTTCCACCCGCATACGACAACAAAAAGCAAAAGTCTAACAAACAAACAAAAAGCAGAAAAAAAAAGAACTAGGAACCAATAGTCCCTTAGTCCCCTGGGTACTGCAAACAATGAAACTTCATTTGTTTCCTGCATCTTTTTCCTGGATAGAGTTCCTGCCTTTTTCCTGGGAGGAGAAAGCTCCATATTCTCTCCTCACCCACCTATTCTAACAAGTATTGTGGGAATTTTGTAAACTCTTTTCCTCTGTTGGATTTGGTACCTCTGTCAGTACCATGGAGGGTGCCTCACAATCAATCATTGAGTAGGTGTTTTACAGAAGAGATGCTGAAGAGAGGTGTTTTTCTCCTGAAGTAGAGCTGAGAAAGTGAATTTGTGCACAGCAAGTGGAGTGGCAGCTTATCTTTAAGCTATAGGGTGACATGAAGATAGGCATTATGTCCTTATCTTTGGAGAGCAGGGGATTCAAAAATATCTTGTAGAAACGTTGGTACAAAGCTGCCACGAGGAGTTGATGTTACCGCATTAGCACTTCAGCAAATTTTAGAAGACAGGGTATGAACGGTGGGCTGAAACTTAGGCAGGTCTTTAATAGTGAGGCTTGGATTGCAGTGAAAGGGCTTGAAGAGGGTAGGTGGCAGTTGTAGGAACTCTAGAAAGCTTCAGCATGGTCTGTGAACCACGTCATTATGGGAGAGCAATGCTGTCCCACCTTGGGTAGCCCTGTGTAGGCACCCATCGATCTCTGTCTCTTTTAGCTGGTGGTAACACTGCTCACAACTGAGTTGAGATACTTGGAAGCCTGAAAGGACCAAGTGGAAGTCTTACATGTCTTCACAACCCAGTTCCTGACTTCTGTCTTTTCTCTTTGTTTTCTGTGTTCTGGTGTTTTGCTTCAGGTCACTTCCCAAACAAAGCCATGCCCTCAGCTGGAACACTGCCTTGGATACAGGGGATCATCTGCAATGCCAACAACCCCTGCTTCCGCTACCCGACCCCTGGAGAGTCCCCCGGCATCGTTGGAAACTTCAACGCCTCCATGTGAGCCTGCCTGCCTTTCCTTTGCCATCGCTCTTGGGGAAGCAGATGGGAGTGGGATGTAGAGCAGTTGCCTCTCAGTCGCTCAGCCCCACATCACTGAGGATTCTGCTCTTTCCTTTGGCTCTCCTAGCAGGAGAGGTCCCACGTTCTACTGTTACCAAATTCAGAGGGGCACGCAGGGAGCCGTGGTGCACAGCAGATCTGTTGTTGAGCAAATGATTGAGCAAACCACATCCCTCAGTTCAAACAGGTGAAGCTCTTGGTGGGTGAAGAGCTTGGCCTGGGTGAGGGATATCTGTTCTCTTTCCAAGTGTTTAGCGTTTGGCCCACGGAAAGGGGAAGCTTCAGCTGTGTTCTCTAGGGAGAAAGTCAAGCCCTATTTCCCTAATAACTCACTGAGATGCACAGTACATAGTGAGAGATGGTCTAAGAGCTAGTCCGTGGAATTTTCAGTGACAATCCTTTGATCCATGTGTTCCAGGAAGCTCCATTTATAGTGGTTTTCCATATACCCCACCTTGCTTGCTGTGTTGAAGCAGTCTGGCCGCAGTTATGCAAAAAGCTAAATTAAAGGTTTGTGCAACCTGGAAAAGCATTTCAAAGGTGCAAGGGCATATTTAAATCACCTTGCTTCCAGGAGGAAGCTGTTTACAAGCGGCAAGAGGCAGTCTGCATCCCAAGTCCTAAACAACTGCTTTCAAACGCTTCGAGGTTCCCAGCACAACTTTGTTTGACCTCGCATTAGAATCCATCTGTTATTGGGCTCCTTAGATAGCCCCGGGGCAGTCCCTGAACAAGGGACCAACTGTACTGGAGAGGGCAGCGTCATTGCTGGAGGGAGCTGAGGTTTGGGATGAGGATGCAAATCTGTATCAGTGGATGTGGCTCACAGAGCTGATGACCGCTGGTTGTTTCTGTTGTTTTTTCCCTGTTTCCCATCTGCTCCCCCAGTGTTTCCCGCCTGTTCTCGGATGCCAAGAGGTTACTCTTGTACAGCCAGCAGGACACGAGCTTAAAGGACGTGCAGATGGTGCTGGGCAAACTGCGGAAGTTGAAGAGGTCTGGCTCAGGTAAAGCGATGGCGATAAGTGCACGTTTGGCAAGAGTCTCTGCTCTACTTAACTGCCTGTGTGCCTGTAATTTTCCAAAATGTATTGCCGTGGGAAAGCTCAGCCCTGCAGAAATGGTGTAAACCTCTGCAGGGTCCGAGCTTTATGCTGTCTTGAGCTGCTTGGGTGTAAGAGAAAGGGGAGAGCCCATAATGCCAAGAATAGCAGCCGCTTTGGATGTGAAATTGCAGTCCTCAGCCTGCTGCCATGGATTACCGTGCTGACAGTTCCTCAAAGGAATCTGACTGTGTTGGTGGGAAACACTAGTTATTCTGCTAATTCACGGGGGATTTTTGTTTGTCTACAACTGTTTGGTTTTGGATATTTTCCTCTCTGCCATTGCCCAGGAGGAGCTTGGCAGGTTAGGAAAGAAAATGATCTGTGCCTCGAGGGCTTGCACAGCCCTTCTTGCTGCAGGGGGTGACCTTGCTGCAGGGGATGACCACCTTCCTGCTTGTAGTTCATGTGGGGAAGGTCTGATGTGCTCTCCTGCCTCGTGCACATGGTGAGGTGCCGCCTCTTGCACAGGAAACTTGCAGCAGAGCAGGCCTTGAAACAGCTGGACCCGCCGTGGGGCAAAGTCTGCTTTTCTCATGGCCACTGCAAGTTTGGGGGGGTTCTCTGCTCTGAGAGGTTATTTCTCTTGGCAGCTGTGTGGTGCTGCCTGGTGCTAGGGTAGGAAGCTAATAATTTTAAAAGTAATGCTTGCAGAGCAGGGGTGCAGAGCCATCAAATGTCTTCTCCTGTGGCCTTTATCCACTCTGCGTGAGTGGAGCCCTTGGGTGTGGGTTATATTTTAGCACTTTGTCAGGGTTAGAGTAAGCCCCTAATTTTACAGCAATAGTGCTCCAGTAAGCTTTCCATCCAATCATTACCCAAGTAGGCTCTGATAAAGAAAATACTTGACCTGGTGTGATGTGAGTAATTTCACACGCCTGACGTGGACTGTGCGCTCTTAAAAACAGAGGAACTGTCTTTTCTGCCCTCACAGGGTTGCTCAGTGCATCGGAGGTCACTGAAATAAATATTGTTAGTGACAGGTTGGCAAGTGCCTGCTGGGTGCACATGTACAAAAGAACCATGCTACGGGCTCTTCTTGGATGTATAACCCTCCTCTCCCGCTTCAGGGCTATGCAGACGCCAGGTGTGATTGGATCCGCAGGTATTAGCGCTGTCTAGTGCCTGTTTTCACTGCATCGAGTGCCACTTTATGTTACATCAAAGGGCACCCTTCCTTGCTGGGTGGGCTCGACGTCCTTTTCACTGGGACTATGTATAGAGTCACCTCTCTCTCTACCCTGAGAACTGGTAAGTGGAGCTGTCATCATTTTGTCTAGGTCTGCAGTCTTTTTAAGGTGGAGAGATGTGGGCCTTTTGCACAGCGACAGATGATTAAAACGGTCAAAATGAGCCAAGATGACCTTATTGCTCAAGAAGAGATTTAAGGCACATTAAATAGAGCTCTTCAAACCCTTTCTTGGTGGTCTTGTTGAGGCCAATGCCTCTGTGTGTGAACAGCAGGCTCTCTTGTTGCCCAAGTGCAACATTTCGTGCTCTACCATCTGCAAAACGTCTGCTTGTGAAAAGTTGACTAACGGCGTTTATGGTGCGACTAATCGCTCTCCATCTGCCTACCACCAAAGATGGGAATATTTTCTCATGGTTCTGATAGGTCTTTTCAAGTGACTGGTGACAACTGTCACAGGATTTCTCAAGCCTGTCTTGAGGGTCCTTGGACATGGAGGAGAAAGGTGGATGAACACTTATCTGCATTTCTCTGAAGATGGTTCAAGTTATCTATTACAAACTGCTCACTTTTTATAGAAAATCTTGGCCTTATTTTTCAGTCCTTGTATTCTCCCATGACAGCACACAAAAATCTTTCTTCCCATTTGTGGATGCAGAATTGGTCTCTCCATAAATAGTAAAGTAGTACCTGCAAACTTACTGTAAGAAAGAGATGAGTGTTTGATATTGACACATGCAGTGAACACCAGACATGGACATTTACAGGAACTCGTGTCAAAGTCATAAGCTGAAGCTGTCATTGCTGGGAAGGTTTAAGGGGGAGGAGTGATTCCAAGAAGTTTTTCGCATAGGGTGCACTATAGTAGCCAGAAGTCAGCTGGCTCATGTTTCTCTATAGAATAAAGACTAGCAGATTGATTGCAAAAATAAGCCCCAGACAAGCACATCAAAGATCATATTTCCATAATAAAGCGTTTCAAATGTGTAGAAGAAGAAATCAAGTCTCTGTGTCTAGAGAGCGACAGTCTGCCCATTGTTGGCATGACTTGCAGGGAACAAAGCCTGTTTGTCCTTCTCATGACATGCCCGTTTAGAGTGTCCAACTTGGGTGTCCCTTCTGTTCACTTACTGCCTGCCTGATTCACTCTCTTAACAGCACGCGTGAAACTGCATCCTCTAATCTCACAAGTATATTCTTAGGACAAAGAGGAAGATGAGATCTAGTGAGCTGTCCTATGTTCCAAAAACCTGTGCTTTTTTTTTTTTTTTTTTTTAGTGGTAAACCACTCCTGTTTTGACTGCATTTTATTATTATTGTCAGATAAGATGTTCCTTAAGAAAATGATTGGGTGACACTGAGAGGAAGAGGGAACGGAGGCACCAGGGAATTAGGGACTTCTCTCTAGTAGCCTGTCCAGAGCACACTGGGTGCACTTGCCCTCCTGGGCACGGTTTTGCACCCATGGCCTGATCATAGGTAGCGTTTGCTTTACAGAATCTGAGCCATTCCCTGCCGTGAATCCCTGTCTGGCAGGGTGCTCGCATGCTTTATCCTTAGGCATTCACCACGCAATGTGCAGTGGTTGCCTGTGAGGCCATCCATTTCCAACAAGGCTATGAGTGCTGGCCAAGAAAATGAAAAATCCAGAGGTGGCACTCAGGGTGACTTCACATCCAGCTCCTGCAGTGTGCTGGAGTTACCTGGAAAATCCCCTGTGTCTGTGGACTTGGATGCTTTGCTTGTCTGTAGCAGTTGTAACTGCATTTTCAGCTGCAGCTCTTGCACTTGCCTTAAGCAAGGGATGGACACACTGGGGAGGGAGGCTTGGTTTCAAGCCATCAGAAGCTGATTGCATTAAGATGAATAACTAGGTCTTTGCTGGGAAAGCTGTGTGGAGGGTGCAGCTTGTCTGCTAACTCTGTCAAAACCTACATTCCTTTTCTCATAAGCATAACTATCAAAACCAATGGGGAAGAAAGCCACTACCAGGAGCTCCTAGCAGGTCTGGTAAATGCACAAACTCCCATGCACTAATCAGCACCAAGATTTGTTTCCTTAGAAACACAGGAGCTGTATTTATCCTTAACGGTATTTACTTCCTCATGGGAACCAGCAAACCAGCCCTTCAGATGCTGCTAACAGTGAGGTGTGAGAAGTGCTTGAATCCCCTTCCCATGGCAGAGCTTCCCCTAGTCACCCTGGGGTATCCAAGCAGGCAGTAGGGATAAACGTCAGATATAAGCAGACATCCAAGCCCGAAAGGATGTCCATGAGAGCTCTTTGGCCTACCTTTGTGCAAGTTTGTCCCCATTTAGCAGCAGGTTTTGTAAAGCCTCCCCGGCCCCAGCTCTGGTCTAGACCTGGAGCTCTCTGCTCAGACCTGGCTTTGCATCTCGTGCTTCCCCTGTGGGAGCTATAAAATAGTGTGTGTGTTTTTATTTTTTATTTTTCTTCTTTTTTTCTTCCCCAGTGTTTGTTTTGCAGATCATGCATGTCCATACTTAGCTTCAGGCATTTTTACCAGTTTACAGAGCCTTTTTCAAAGTCTTCAGGCTTTGAAACTCATGACCAAGGTGGGTCTGTTGAAGCTGCCCCTGTCTTTGTTTCTTCCCTGGCAGAAGACGCAGCCTGCATAGGTGGCTTATCTCTCCCTTCCTCCCCTCCTTCCCCTCCTGCCCACAGCCCTTGCAGTCTGTATTGTCTGGCACCATGTCTGGTGCAGAACACTAAGAAATAACTGTGTGTTACAAAAACTTCTTGCTCTAGGAGGACAGGATGACAGTCTCACAGTCCTAACCAATTTTTCATGGTATAATTAAATATACAGACAAGCTTGTGTGCTGAAAGAAAAGCACACGCTGAGCCATGAGAAAGGTAGAAATGCTTAAAAATAAACGAGTAGGTACTTCTTGGTGAGGTGGAAAGTAATCCCTCATAATTGGGGAAATCTTCCAGGAGTTAGAGAAGCTTGGGAGGGCTGGTAGGGGAGAGCCCACCTTTGCTCCTTACAGCACGTTTCTCCCTTATTTTCCGCTGGCCAGGCGAAGCACCAGCTGTGGTGAGAGGGAGCGGGCCCCCTCTCCCCTCCGCCGCTTGTTGCGTCTCGGCCCGGGGGTGTTGCCAAGGCCTTCAGCGCTGGCGCCGTCATGCCCAGAACAGCGAGTCAAAGGCCTTGGGTGGTGATAGCGCTTCCAAAAACAGGACGTGGCTGTGGGGACTGTCGCCCACCCAGGTCTGGCTGGCTCCTTGCAGGTGCTGCTTTGCACCAGCCCCGGCGGTGTTTTAGTGGAGGAAAACGTGTTTACAAGCGGCGAGCTTTTGTTCTGCCTTTGCTGGGTGGATATACACCTTGCTGTTGACTCTGAGGAGTGTTTTCCCTACCCCTTCCTCCTCCCAAATGCTCTGTTCTGCAGTACCATAGGATAATAAAAATTCATGGGCAAAACTAAAGCTTCCTTTTGTGGCTGTTGCTCAGGTTTGCTCAGATAAGCCATATTTACTGGCTTACATTTGCTTTGTATCTCTTGATTTTCAGTAATCCCAAAGGCATATTTCTGTTATTCTTGAAACCAGCCTTACCAAACAAATAAAATGGAGTAGTGAAGTAGGCAAAGGGAAAAAAACATCACTCAAGAAGTTGCATCAGGTCCCAGGCCCTTATTCTACATGCATGGCTGTCCTTTCCCACTAGTTTGCTGGATTAGTATTGCTG